ATCAGATTTCCATCTTCTAGGTCCATCACTAAGCCCTTAAAACTAAACAACATATGCAAGGTTAATGGAACCACTGACTTATAAATCTGAGGACAATATATATTTTTAATTTTAATAGCAAGCTAACAACAGCCACAAATACAAAAACATATACAGTACACTGCTGTATTTCACTACATTAGTCTTCAAAATAAACATGAAACACAGGAGTAATATAGCTGACAATTCGGAATATATCGCAATATGCAAAATAAAGATATTTATTAGACTGCTTCTTGAAATCCTCATTAAACTACCAAAAAGGCACCTTTAAGATCAAATCCTGTTCAATTACAGGTAACTGACAAAATAAGGAAACACTTGAGAGAATGGGGGATAAAAAGCATATTGAAAGCAGGTGCTTCCTCACAGGTGTGGTTCCTGAGTTAATCAATTTACATCCCATCATGTTTCAGGCCTGTATAAAGATGCATGAGCAGGCCCAGTTGCCCATTATTTTGGCTACTGTGGCTAGAAAAAGAGATCTCGGCCACTTTGAGAGGGGGGTGATTGTTGGGGAACTTTGGCACATGTCGGGAGAAGCCTATAGGTTCAAGTGCTTGTTTCTCACAGTGAAGGGTTCTGATGCCTCTGTCATGGTGTGGGGTGCATTTTCCTGGCATGGTCCACTCAACCCCTTAGAGAGCAAGATAAATGTCAATAAAAATACAAAGGCATTCTGAGCGATCACGTTTATCCTGTGGTGAAACATGTCTATCCTGATGGGACCGGAATCTTCCCGGATGGCAGTAACCCCCATCCACGGGGCACGAGTGGTCACCGAAGGGTTTGATGAGCGTGAAAACAATTTAAACCATCTGCCATGGCCATCCCAGTCACCAGATATCAACCCAATTGAACACTTATGGGAGATTCTGGAGAGGCACCTGAGACGGCGTTTTTCTACCACCATCAACAATACACCAAATGGTGTAACTTCTCATGGAAGAAGGGTGTCCCATCCCTCCTGTGGAGCTCCAGACACTTGTTGAATCTCTGCCAAGGAACACTGAAGCTGTTCTGGTGTCTCATGGTGCACCAATTCCCTATTTAGACACTTTAGGTTGAGGTTTTCTTTATTTCGGCAGTTACCGGTATACACTGTATCCGCTCTTTGATAGTAACTCACAGACAGTGCTACAGAGGGATGAAAGAAGCTGATACTCGTGACCCAGAGTTTATGACAAGATCAGGCCAGGGCTTTTGTGCTTCGAAGAGCACCTGCTCTTGGTGTGCAGGAAACTGAAATAAATAATTCTGCTGTATAATGCCGTGCATGTCAGAGCTGGGCAGCAGAGAGGGGGTGATACTACCTTGTTGGGGAGACTATGGAGATGTGACAGGAGGACAGAAAAGTTAGTTTCAAATTACTTGTTTGTACCAACCAACCAAATATCTTTCAAGCTGATTACGTATTCAGGAGAAGTCCCAAAGCTGTTATACTATAATGCAAAAGCACTTTATTAAATCACAATATCAATAATAAGCAAAGTTACAACCAGCGGGCACATTTTAAAAGTGTGCACAGTGGTGTAAGGCTTGAGACTAACTTGGGAATACTGTAACACCATAAAAGTCTGTTCGTCTTTTAGACATTTTTATTGCTACACTTTGCAGTAATACTTTACATATCAATTCTCACAAATGGGTCCCCAATATATATAATCTAGCCATAAAATACTTGTTTAAACAGTGTTTCTGTAAATGTTTTGGACACAAAAGGCCTTATGATTCAATATTACATAAGAAAGGATTCAAAAGAGCGGACGTACTTTGGCCTAGCTAGATCATTTGGTTTGCAAATACTTCTCTGATCTCAACCAACTGTTTCTTGAATGATAATACCTAATAGCTTATTCCACAAAACCACAACAGAGTTAGAATCATAGAATAATTGCTCATTTGTAATGCAGACCATTACCACAGGAGATCACCTCAACATCTTTAGCTTTGTCCAAACAGTAAAAGAGAAAACTACAATAACTGTATCGGAAACCAAAATAGACTTGTTTATATTTAAGTTTTTTTCTGCCATTAGATGGAAAAACACGAGCCAAGATTCCAAACTCCAGAATTGTAATGAGGTAACTTTCAGACCAGTTAATTCCCCTTTGCCAAACGCCTGTACCTCGTTACTAAGTCTGACAGTTTCACACACACGTCAAGTGTGGGATCAGAAAGAAGATGGTTTTTACCAAACTTTACACGTAAAAACAATGGAAGAAAAATCCTGATTTTTGAGAAAAAATATATTACATTTTAGCCAGGTCAGTTTTGGAAAACATCCTTCCCAGGTCGTCCCGACTGTTATAAAGAATAAGCAGCTTGCTGATAATGTTTGGATGGATAAACCACTGACTTACCAAAAATCCCAAGTGGCAGGGCTCAGTGTGAGCAGTTCCTTGTCATAGCCCTTGTGTTCAACCAGGAATCTGGCAAAGCTGTCATAGATAAGCTGAAACGGAATATATATATATATTAAATGTAGAGACGGTTTCCAAAAGCAACTATAAAATCTTTCCAGGATACAGTACGATTAAGGATGTGCAGAAAATGTGAAAACTAATGGCAACAAGAGAGGACCTTTTAACCCAGTGTTAGATCCTGAATCTATTACAAGTGTCCTCATTGTATCAATTAATTTAGATCTAAAACAGGCAACCCCATTTTTTATTTTTACCTTGTTTTTGTTTTGTGGTGAAGGGGTCCAACCTCAGTGTGCTTTTCACTTACAGTAACTGTTTTACCCGTATCTCATTCTCACTCTATGGGGACGAGGGAGTTCAAATGCATGGTGACAAAAGCATTTTTGTTCTTAGACGAAAACCATAAACCTTAATGGGACAAGCAGGGCTTTAAAAAAGGAACTGGTAGGGTTAAATGTTCCGGTTGGTGGATACATACAGTAAGTGATTTTCATTATTAATTCGTTCCTAGGAATATACGGTTATTCATGGAAGTCATGGGGTAGAATACTTCTGTTTCTGCATAATGCTATTTCCTGTTAAATATAGTGACATGCTAAAGAAATATATAATCACAGAAAAATGTTTTTTTTTTTTCTCGTGCATAATTCCCTTCAGCCGAAATGTCTCGCGTTATCTGCCTTCCTGGTAAACCTGTACATACAGTAACTTCAATTTGCAAAACTGGTTTCATTGAACTTGGTTATATGATGAATTCAGTGTAACAAAAATTACCAAAAAATAACTTGCAAAATGAGTAGGTTAAATTATTCAAAATACTGTTCAAACGGATTCTATCGAACACAATTCCGGCTGGTGGATTGGGAATCACATTTTTTTTTAATTCCTGCGAGTCATTATACATATATTAGATAATTTTATGTATAAATATTTGCTACAGTAAATGTATCTGGCAGTCTGACAGTGTGATTGTGCAGCACGGACCACAGAGCTAATGTTGCGAATGTAACATATAAACATAACTGCGGGGATCTGGGATGTGCGATTTCGCAACAATGAATATTGTTTACCTCTCTCTCTTTTTTTTTAACGCAAACGAGATACAGAACATCACAACACGAGAATCCAGTGCTTGAAAAGCGCTGAAATGTTTACAGGGTACACCGCCAGCCACGCGCCTCCGGCTCGTTTTGTTTTCTGGTTTCGCTCCTTCAATGCTGCTACAGTAGTAAAATTAAAAATCCGAATTTCCCTCAAAACTCACCCTGGAGGTTTCCTTTAAATGGTACCGACAGAGAGTGTGGTCCAAATCAAAACCAATCACATCGCATTCTGACAGGGAGAAATACTCGCTCATTGTAGCGACAGTGAACTGAAAAGCAAAAAACGAATTTGGGATGTGCACGTCTGCAAAGCCCTCGTACTGTCTGCCAGTGTCACTGAGCTCCTCTGAGCAGCCTCAGCCTCCAATACCTTCGCCCGCAAAGCAACACGTGAGGCGCTTCTGCAGAAGGGACCCACAGGACGGCCTGCGATTTTATTTCATGAAATAAAACCGCCACTAATAGCAATCAGTCGCTCCGCGGAGATGCACTTCTGGAAATACAAATAGCGGACTGCATGAACTGAAACAACAACAACAAAAAAAAGCTGTTACTTCTTAAGATTTTATGAATGTCGCTAAATTGTTTTAACTCGTTAGTGCTCCTACAGCAGGCTGTTGACAATCGACAAACTTCCGGGTGAAGTTACCGTATTTTAGCACTATCAGTCGCTCAGGTGGGAAGTAGGATGACGCGGATTTCTGCTAAAATATATGTCGTTAATCACTTAAATGCTGTGAAACCATCTCCCATCATTAAGATTAACACTGTTTTTGTTGCTGTTACCGTGATGTTTGCAGACATGCTTTAAATTGACATTCGCACATTTATGCTATGCTAACTATGCTGTGGTTTCTATCTTGCCCTTCCTCAACTATCCGTATTTTGCTGCAGTTACTGTAAACGTTCAAAAGAGCACCATGTCCTGTAGATTTACAAAACAAAACTAACGCAAGTGCTTAAGGTACTAAAATAATACAGTCAGTTAACAACAAACAAAAATCTGCTCATCTGGTTTCCTTTGTTTTCAGTCGCTAATTAATCCAAGGCGCTTTGTTGAAGGAAGCCTCAACGGGGGCAGCTTGTTCCAGAAATTATAACCCTTTATTTTAATACTGTACCTCCTTTCCACACACCTATACTTTCTACCTGTGTCCTAATTCGCTGTTGATTCTGAAGAGGTTCATAAGATTTACTTTGTTTTAATTTAATGCTTAAATTGCTGCCACGGGGATGAATAAAGTATTTTCAATTGAATTGAATTTGAAGCGTATGAATACTTGACTCGGGTCACTTCATAGTCTTCTCTGTTTAAGACTGTTATATTTCTCCTGCCGTTGTGATCAAAAATGTCCACAATACTCCAGATGAGGTCTCAGTACTGCATAAAAGTAGCATTGGTAGTGTTGACACCTGAAGAAGGCTGAATAGCCAAAATGTTGTTTCTTCTTTCTACTTGTCAGTGTGAAATTAACCTTTACTTGTTTCTTGAAAGTAATCAGCCAGGTGTTTACCCAGTTCATGGTTTGGTTTAATTCCTTTCGAATTCTTCAGTTAGCAAACTAGTCAATTCCATAGATGCCAAAGTAGGACCATTAGTAAACAACTTCTTAATTGTTTGTTAATCCTCCTAGTTAGGTGTCACCTGAAAATTTACTAATTGTCTTGTTTTAGAGTTTTTCACAACCAATTCAATTCAATTCAATTCAAGGTGCTTTATTAGCATGACCGATGGGTACAATCAGTGTTGCCAAAGCAAATAAAAATAATAAATAATAAAATTAACATGGAACAAAACAAAAAATAGAAGTAAAATAAAACCTGCAGACATGTTACAGACACAACCTCTCACAGTTATCTCTTAATGATTTTGACTGCATTCTTTTGCAGACTGACATGCTACAAAGTCCCAAAACCTAAAGTTTAAACTTACTTGGACACTTAAATGATTGTTTGAAAGGGATCTATAACCACATTTGACAAAACTACAACTGAACAGCAGTCTGCTGATAATAATAAAGTACAAATAATAATTAAAAATAAATAATGCCCAAAACTTTCATAATATAAAACTTTACCTTTTTTACCAACAGTGATTTGACTAGCTTTTAATAATACTAAAAATACTGTATTTTAAAAATCTTGGTGTCATTGAGGTCCCTGAAGTTTTAAAAACAGGTTCTTTATAATATGCATTATTTGTTGTATATAGACATTGATGAAAAAAGATGTCTTAAGTAACTACATACGTAGTAAAATGTCTACATATGTTTCCAGTAAATAAACGTACATATTCAATGTCTCTTTGTCTTTTAGTTCCTTCTAGTAATGATTGCAACAATCTGGAAATGTAATAGTGCCCACTCTGGAACATTTTAGCAGTTCTTCATTATAATTCCTAGATGACTAATATACTGTACTGTTTGTGTACTTCAACTATCTATCTCCTGTTGAAAACCTGTCACGTACAGTATACTGTCAAGGAACTGCTCATATCAGTGTGATAGCAGCGACAGTGTACAGTACAGTTGTCCTTGTTACACTGCATGGAGAAAGATGTGCAACTGGTAACTGGTGGGGCAGCGTGTATTGCCCCAAAATCACGCTAACTGAAACATTGCTTCACCATTGTGAAAGACTAATTAGAAGAGACTTTTTTTCAGAGAAACCAACATATTTAATGTGCACATGTTCATTTACAAAGATCATAAAGATGGATCTTCTCATGAAAGAGACACACCATCAGGGTGACTGGACATCCAGGAGAACTCCAACTTCGTGGACCTCCCAGGGTAGCTCACTCAGTGCAGCTCACATGTTAAAGAGTTAAAACGCTTGTTTCAAGGTGACCTAATTAATGTTACTAAAATAACATATCCTTATTCTGTCTTTCTATACTGTGAGATGTTCTGATATAGACACCAGACAGTCTAAGACAGCAGGTTTTCAAATACTACTTTGAGAAATTACTTAACAATGAGTCTTCTTTAAAGTTTTGGAAACAGGATGATTTTATTTCTAAGTTGAATTTTATTATTACTTTTTTATATTGTAATAAGGCTTGAAATGAGAATACTACTTACTACCTTTTCACGATTATTCCCAGCAAGCACAAAGGTAAACTGCAGCAATTTCTCATGAAAAGGGAACAAGATATCTGATAATCATATAAAAATTAGGAGAACTGACTAATTGTGGTCTTTAATTTTGTGATTTTCTAAACGGATTACCACATTCGTGTTCCCTCAGTAATCAGGGGTTTTCCAAGTTTCCAAGGGAAAGGAAATGACCTCAGTGTTTTATGTGACATTCAACCGAGTCAAAGCGATAAGTACTGACGCGGAAAAGTAGTAAATAATGCTTGAAAATAATTATAAAACACGTTTTGCTATTGTGTTGATAGTCACGTCTACGCAGTAGCTGACACTGTTCAGAAATCTGTAAGAGTGGGACAAACTCGTGTCACAATCCATCTACACTGTAGGTTTAAAGGATTTACAAAATCTTTTATTTCCCATTTACCAGCAGCGAGACTAAATGTGCTGACTATGTCAGATGGGTGTTTATCACTAGAGTGATTCAAATCTCGATGTGGGAGGTGTAAAGATAATAAATGTACTGCTAAATAAAGAAACGGTCATTAAAGAAAGTACTTTTCCCCCCTAAATATTAAAAGTAAAATTGGTCAGTTTCCAAAACATGCATGTTTTTTTTTTTGCTTCATGTAGCTGAGAAAGCATGGCTTCAGCGGAAGGAATGCGAGACAGTTCATGTGTTTGCAGGTATAGCGAGAGTTAAATCTCGGGCTACTGTTCAGGGTGCACAGGTCGTTTTGCGGGGAGACGAAACGAAGCAGGAAATGCCTTACGAAACACGTTAGTAACCGGGAAATCCACCTGCTAAGTGCCTTATCCTTAGTGCCTGGGTGTGTTCTCGGTGAGTAACTTCGACTTCGGAGTATCGCTACGTAAGAGCAGCAGGTCCAGTCCGGACTCGGGAGGCGCGTTTCTGCAGGTGTTTCGGGAATGGAGGGGACGTAATTTTTTAATACTACAGGTGTCGGTCCTTCACCAAAAGCGCTTCTGGAGAAACAAGAATACGTACCGTATGGGGGTTGTTTTTTTTTTTTTGTATTCGCCTCCGCGGATTTCGAGTGGTGATTACAGGTTCAGTACTCCTCGATATTGATGCCTAAGCGGTCCATAAAGTTGCGGTCTCATGATGTCTGACACCATAAAGGAAAAATGCACTTTTTGTTGTCACTTTGTTTTCCCCTGCCTGTTCACAAGAACAGAGGGGGCAGAGGAGGACGAGACGAAAACAGACGCCGTAGTGATCGAAAATAAGAATGCGCCCCTCAAAAGGTCCCTGCCACCGCTGCCGGAGCCGGACCCGAGGTGCTGCTATGTGGCGCTGTATGACTATAGCGCTCGGACGCAGGATGATTTAACTTTCAGGACTGGGGACAAGCTCGAAGTTTTGGACAAAAGTCACGGTGACTGGTGGATAGCGAGGGCACTAACCGGACCCTCGGTGAATAAGGAGGGTTACATTCCAGCTAATTATGTTGCGCCGGTGGAAAGCCTCGATGCAGAGCCGTAAGTACATCCATTTAAATTAACTGAACATACTGTATATCGCTCATGGCATCGCTTTCATTGTGACCTACAGTACCATTATTGTTATTGATTGTTTTAATCTCATTTCAATTGGAACTACACCTGGTACAAATTACGTGGGCAGGCTTTTAATAATGTTTCTTGAGTTTCATTCTGCTTCTCTGTGTTCATGCAGGTACAATGTTGTGCCATTATGTAAGCTTTCTCAATAAGCACGATTATATATAATAAATAAGTATACTGTGTATATACAGTACTGTATATACACATACTGTATAGTGGTGCATGTATATACACATCTTGTTTAAGTTCTATATTACTTCATGAATATACTGTACATTTACAGCCCAATATATGAAAACTTAAGTATAAGTTTACATATAAATTTATACGTATAAAATCTGTTGTTTTACATTCAGTTTGTTCACGTGAACATGTTAAGCTGCTTGTGGAACCCTTATATCTTTTTCATGTTGCATATTTAGAATAGAATGGAATAAAGTTCAGTTCAAGAATCTCCTTAACAATGAGACCTCAACACAAATCTGTATTTAATACAAATGGTAAGGAATTGCATTATGTAACAATGTTGAAGCTCTACTTGAATAAAATGGCCATTCCCATCATGTATAATCATACTACAAAACATGATCCATCAGATTCAGTCAATGTAACAATTACCAAATGCTATGACAGAAGCTCAAGGAATTGAGTGCTTTGTTTAAAATGCCTACCATACACTTCACATTTTCCTGAATAGAACAGGTTCTGCCTAAATGATGTCATTTCTGTGGAATGCAGTTGGAATGGAACACCGCTCCTGACTGGTTGCTGTCGAAATTATTTTTCTCATATTTATCATTATCATTCTGTCAATTTGGTCATGGTGACAAATTCTATTCATAGTTTATACATGACTGGAGCCATGCCTATAGAGTATAGGATTATATTGTAGTTAAATGTTGTATACATGGTAATTTATAAAGGTTATTGCAAATTTGTATGCTTGTTAGTGTTTTTAAACTTCTGTTAGTCTTTAAACTTCGTTACAGTCAGAAGTAGTTCAGGTGGGTAGCTGCGTCAGCATGCGTAGGCTGCAAAGGAACAAGTAATAGGTTTATTCCATGCTGAATGCTGAAGAAGGCTCCACAACCGAAACGTTGTTTCCTTTCTTCTCTTTTCAGCATGGAATAAACCTATAACCCGTTCCTACGTTACAGTCATGCACTTACAGTACAGTCATTCTGTAAATCCTGTATTCTCATAATGTTTTGAGTGATGTGAGTTTTATCTTTCTGAAGATACATTTTCAGTTTGGTTTCTTAGTGCGGTGTCTTTATGATCAAAGTAGAAGGTTGCTCATGTCCGTTTGGGTGACACAGGCAAAAATGGAACAGTACAGTATGAATTTCCTGGTGATGAACGTAATCTGTGTTAAGTTTAAACTATGACACAGCAGTGCATGAACACATAACCTTGACTCTATTGTTTTTTTGCAATTATATTGATGTTCAGTTTATTGATGTCATTAGATTACTGTTTTTTCTAGTACTTTATACTCTAATACTCTAAGATAAAACAACTTTCCCAACTTTCCAAGAGTAAAACTAAATATTGAATAGTAAATATAAAATTCAGTGTTTCAGATCACAAACGATTGTAATGTATATGATATCATTGTAAAAGTGAAGAGACTTAAGTGGTTCCAATATTTGTTGTATTATTTTTACGAGCTTCAAGTGATTAAATATTCTTCAAAGCTTAGCAAGTTTTAAACCAAATAACACCCATTTATTTGCTTTTATTTCTGTGGCTCCTTTGTTGACATGGTAACCTTTGATTAATAGCTGACATATTCCAGGAAGTAACTGGATATAAATCAAGTTCAAATTTTAGAGACTATCTACACAGCTCAAATCAGCATTATTTTTGTAATTACATTCCAAAGAACTTTGGAATATATACAACAATTGCTTGTGTAAATTGGGAATTGTAAATATTGTACAAACAGCCTTCAACACCAAATCAATTAAAACAGTAATAAAAAAATGGAAATACTAGCATGAGTGGAACAATACAGGCTGAAAAACACATTATACATTTTTCGGTGATGAACCAAGTTTAAACTTAAACAATGACACGACAGTGTATGATCACATCACCCTGACTCTATAGGTCTCTTGCAATCATTTGTATTTAAGTAAAAAAATATTGAATAGTAAATATAAAATTTAGTTAATACAAATAAAGCTGTAGACTGTGGCTGACTATTCAACACATTTGTCCTCTCTAGAATTAATTACTGCAATGCTTTTCTTTGCTGGGGTATCTTAATCCACATGGAAAAAAACTTCAGTGTGTCCAGAATTTGGCAGTCAGAATCCTGACTAGGTTGTGTGCTAGTGATCACATTACTCCTGTCCTGGAGTCCTCGCACTTCCTTGCACTTCCTAGCTTCCTGTCAAGTTTCATGTTTACTTCAAAGTCCTTGTGATCACGTACTGTATACGCCTGTACATGTCTTGGCATCTCAATACCTGTCTGTTTTAATATCTTCCTACACTCCACCTCATAGCCTTGGTTCATCTGACTCTGGTCTCCTGTTTGTCCCCCAAGCTCATCTACATGCCATGAGTGACAGGGCCTTCTCTTGTTAATGCCCTAAAGCTCTGGAATTCTGTCCCGAAGGATATCAGACACATCAGAGAGTCCCCTTCTCTAAGCGCTTTCAAATCAAACTCGGGCTCAATTCAGATTAAGTTTCAGACTCAAAGTTCTTCTTCCTCCAGAATTCCAGAATGCAGAATCCTTCTTCAAAAAGGCTTGTAAATGATTGATGTCTGTGTCTGCCCCTTTGCATCTTCCACTGCATTCTAAATCCTTGTTTTTAATTGTGCTAACTCTGTTATCTCCTATCATTGGTTTTTTTTTTGCTTACTGTAAAGCGCTTTGAAAAGCTACTTTAAAAGTCGCTACAGTATATAAAATAGTTTATTATTATAAGCGGTTCCTTAGAAGGACTTCCAGTGTGTGAGTTGAAAGACAAAAACCAAAAACAAACGTTTATGTGGAAGAATCTTGGGACTTTTTTTATCTGCCATTGTATCGATGAAGGCTGATGATGGCTTAGAGTAATACTGCAATGTTTATATCTGCACCTTTCAGATAACAGTGGACCATATGGGCTGAAACTCCACAAGTGTCTCATTAAATTCTTACTATGAATTCATTTATCCATTTATCCATGGTGAATAACAAGATACAGAATTTAAATAAAAACACAAATGCATATCTGTACTTTTCTGTACTGTATATACATGGATATTATATACATAGATAAAAGTATTGTTAAATCCTCCATTTAAAAAAATGTTATATATTAGTGAATGTGATTCAGAAATGCTATCTCTTATAATTTTGTTTGTTTAATCTGTTTTATGATTCCACAGACCAGCCGAAATTGATAGCCACATCCCAACTTAATACACATTGTAATTACTGTTTGCTAAGACACATGAGTGTTCAATGAATATAAACATGCTATCAGGGTCCAATATGTAGGCCTATAGTTGAAAAAAATATTTTATTATGCCCAATAAAGTGGTGAATGACATTTTTAGAGAAATTAGGTGACGCATTATGTTTGATTGTAAGTATACAATTGACACACTCACAAAATTGTTACAAGTAGCATTGTGCAGTTTTAAGAACAGTAGTCATATAGTTCTGGGCCGAATATAATTTAGATTAAATTTAAATACATGACACCCAAAACATAATGGAGTATCGTACTGTAAAAGGAGACGACAGAGTATTGCACAGCAATTTTCAATTATGGGCTTAAATTAATTCAAATCAGGTCAAGGGTGTAATTAGAAACATCTAGTATCACAGGGCTGAAGCTACTTTTTAAAAAAATGATGTAGAAGAATCTTTAGGACATGCTTTTAAAGACATCAGATACCTGCTATCACATTTCACTGTGAAAGCTTGTAGAATGTGAAGGACTGGAGATAACTGAATGTTGGGTGTATAAAGTCTGAAAACTGGGTGAACACGTTTCACAAGCTGAAGACAAAGCATTCCCCTTATTTAGTATAAATAGAAAAAGGACATGAAAATGTACATTGCGGTTGTTCATTCCTGTCAGCTGTGCTCCAGACAGTATCTCTCTTTATTTGTATGGGTGCACGCTCAATGAAACACAAACAGTTCACTCCAAACTCCAAACACATTGGGACAGCAAAGTCCAAACATATTTTTATTTGACAGTCAAACAACTTGTTATAGTGATATTATTATGAATGATTTAATTAATTAATGTCCGCTTAAAGGAAATTTCAGAGTATAAAAGTTGGTATTTGGTTGTACATCCCTTTGAGGCAATAACTCCATCAAGTCTGTGACCCATTCAGCTTACCAAATTCTTTGTGTAATCTTCTGGCTCATCTTTCCATGTCTGATCTTGCCATTCATGGGGAAAATTAAAACTGACGTCTTTTTAATTCTGCTGGCTCAGTCCTCTAGTAAATGTGATTTTCAGACTCTCACCTCTGCAGTCTGGAGGTGGTTCACCTACAGTTGTTGAAGGGTTTTCCTGGACAGTTCTGAAATTGATTCTGTTGTCAGCTGCAGATATGGGCTGGCCAGGCTTTGGCTGATTGCTACAGTAATTATACCAGTGGTTTCTTTCTGCTTTAGTACATTCCACATTTTTTCATTTTAGTATGCACAATTCCTCTGCTTTGTTTCTGATGTCTTCTTTTATTTCAGCTTCAAAAGTGAATGCTTTTTATTTCACAGAAGGTTATTTGCTTTTCATCTTGGCTTTCAACTACGGACTCCAAACACTGAAGTCAAAACGAAACAGGTTGATGGGTGGTGCTCAGTTCTCTTATGGATGCCTAATTATCCAAAAACAAGAACCTGACCAACAAGAGACAGCTGAAAGTAAAATTACCCAATATGTCTGCACTGTCTAAATTAAGGCATTCCAGTCTGTCAATTTGTTTAACTCACCAAAGGGTAGAATTGAATTTATGTTATTAAAAAATACAATCCTCAGTTGTTAACCTTTTAAAATAAAGGATATATCCATACTTTGGACTGTATATATGTTTTTGGAGGCAACACCCATAGGGTCTGGCAGCATCAGTTCCTAAACTGGGATTGATGAACTCCATTCTTTTGGTTAATGTTTTCACTGCGTCATGTTTGCAAAAGATGATTTCACCTTCAGTGAAAGTGCCTTTTCATTTCTATATTTTGAAAGCATTTTTCCAGCAAGCAATGTACTGAGAACTTAACTTTTGTAATTTAAGTGAGAGTCTGCCATGGAAATACACTCAAGCTCTGTTGTGTTTCTTCCTTAAATGTGTATATACTGTTTCTCCATGCTACACTACTGTTCAAAGTATATATACACCATTATAACACCATTAACTCTATAATGGCTCATAAAGTTCCACGGTGCCATAGAGATCAAGATCCTCATTTAAATAAATTGCCTCCAAATTCTGATTTTATATGTACATAAGGTGTGCCAGATTTTAGTGTGACTAAAACTAAAGCAAAGCTCTAGAAACCAAAATTATGTCCAAAATAGTATTTATTGTACAGAACTCATATAAAAGTGTACTGTAAAAGGAAAGCTTTAGGAAAATGATCTAGAATGCCCCGTTTATTAATTTAGTTAATCCTTTTTTTGACATTTATTTTTCAAACGTATGTCTTAATTACAGCTAGAAGTTTTACAAATGAAAACCTAATTGGATCTCTGATCTAACATCTCCTCCGATGAGGCATGCACGCAGACACGCGCGCACGAGCGAGCACACGCAAGCACACGTAAGCACACGCAAGCACATGCAGAAAGGTCTAAAAGTGGAAACAACAGTTTGCTATGGAACAAGCCAAACAGCCATGTTGTTGAAACCATTACCCTCCCTTCTTTCAAGAAGTGGCTGGATCTCAAATCGGTTTACTACCAAAGGGTCAACGTGTCTGCAGCTTTTCTAGGTGTGTGTAAAACAGAAAGCCAAAAAGCTTGGAGAAGCTGTCAAATTGGTTTAGTTTAGCCCGTGACTTGCCGGTTTAGCCTGCAACAAGGTGAATTAAGATGATAACCTGCAGGCATATTGACTTCCAGATCCAGGATTTGACAGCCCACAATAACACGGTTTGGTAGTTCTTTGAAACCATACAAGCAGGCTATTTGTGATATTAGGTAGTGATCATTTAGGACCTAATTCATATTGCTCCTCAGCCCTTAAGGACCAGAGTTCTCCTAACTGAATACATGAGCTGCTTCATTGATCAAAAATTAGCAGATAAAAAAATGGAATAACAGGAGGCAGAAAAAGAACAGGAAGTTTAGGGGAAAAAAACCAAGCAGATTTCAAGGCCAGTATCTGACGTTCACTAGTTTAAGATGGGCAAAAGCCATTAGAGATTAATTGAATAAAGTGAATAAAAATCACAACCTAATTTTCTACAGCTGCATTTTGTTGACTGAAAACTATTCACTACACTGAAGTCATGCTCCAAGGAAACCATTTTGAGTCTTGCTGTTAGAGCCAAATGTTACAAGATCACAAGGACTTTGAAGTAAAAATGTTAGAGCCATTTTTCCTCTGGTGTCAGATGAGTCGAAATTGGAGATTTTTGTGAGAAAAGGAGGACAACGGTGCTTGTATGTGCCCTGTGACGGTGTGCTGAGCAGGCAGCAGTCTCGCACCCCAGGATATGCTGAGAAGGAAGAGAATTCTGATAAAGGATGAGTAGATGAATGGAAGAAGATCCAACAGAAATACAACCATATACAGTATGTTTACTTTCATGTGTGGAGCATAACAAAGGTTCTATAAGTGCTTGGAGGTAAACATTTTCCAATAATTCTAGAAAAAAAAAAGATTTCTTCTTCAATGAGAAAGCACAAACAGATTCTAAAACATCACGCTCATTTAATAACCTCTGAATAGTCTATTAATAGGTGAAGCCCCCTCCCTCCGACAATGTCGAATTTTATTGTGTTACAATATGGAATCCTAATGAACTTTATTGCCATATGTAACCAGTACATGTACTGATACAATGGAATTCTTACTTACAGAAAGTCTCTCGATTGTTAAAAAGTGTAAAAACACAAAGCTTTGACACCGCATCAAGACAATATATAAACAAACAAACAGTAGACAATGCACAAGTAAACAAGCAATGTAATTTACAGTTCCATATTGTAACAAGATAAAATGTGACAAAATCCAAGGGGTTGAATACTTTTGAGAATTTTCTCATACCTTTCCCCAGGTGGGTGCTTTTCAAAAACGCTATCCCGGATGTGCTTTGAATGTTGCTTTGTCTCGATCACGTAGTTTTTGGATGCTGTACCAGTCGACTGTGGGCTCTCCCAGAGAAAGATGTGTTTAAGCTGAGTGGCTAACTCTGAATGGACGAGGGACATGAGGGTGGAGGGGGTCAAATCATAGTGTAGATCTGGGAATGTGTACCATTTGAAGCAGGATGTCCTAGTGCTTGTCCTCATGTCTCTGTGTGTCCATCAGTTTCAGTTCAGCAAGGACTTCCATTTTCTCTTCTGGAGTCTTATTCAGGCTGATAGATACTTTGATTTCTTAAATTGTTGCTCCAAAATTCCAAATAAGTGTAAAATAAAATGATTTGTAAAGAGTAAGTGACAATTCCAGGACTGAAGAGAATTAAAAAAGACCCAATTTGTAAATTAGGTGTTAAAATAATGTTAATAATATTAAAATTACTTAAATTAAAATAGCACTAATTTATATAATCAAATCCTTTGATCCGATAACCAAGATGTTAGAACAAAAATAAGCAGTGTATCGAGACTGGGATTTAAGAGCCTTGATACTGTATTTTCTTTTTCATCAACAGTACAGAATATTATTATTATTTTTTTTTTATAATTGTATTCTCTTGCTGTGCCCATTAGGCAAAGACTTGAAATCATATACCATGGAATTGTTCGTTTTGGTTGCCATGAAATATGTACTACAGTTGTACTATAAGACTGCAGAATTTATTGTGATTTTTTTTATCGGAACTTTTTTATTTGATACTTCAACACATGCTAATAAATGTGTTATATGAAGATACAGTATAAAATAATATTTTGTTATTCGAGAGGAACAATCTGGCTAAATGAGAAATATCCATGCTATAGCATAATACTTTCCCAGTGGAAAAAGCAGACATGGTTGTTAATTAAATGATAACAAACCTTAATGTTAACATTATTTGTTATGTGGGTGATTGTTAATCTTGTATTATCTTTTAATTTGTTTAAAAAATAATTCTTGCAGGTATTAACTATTTGCAGGAATAGAGATTTTACAATTCAGATCAATTTCAAGGAGAGAAAAACAAATAATGATTCCTCAAAACATACTTCCTGCAATAGTCTTTCATTTCAGTTAAATTGACTGACTGGTCATTTTTCCTTTAGGTGGTTTTTTGCAGATATCAAGAGAGCAGATGCGGACAAGATGCTCCTGTCTCAAGGAAATAAAAATAGAGCTTTTCTTGTCAGAAACTGTGAAAGTCATCAAGGAGACTACTCTCTTTCAGGTAACCTTTTTAAGAGCAGTTTATACTGTGAAAAGCAGGGGAGTAACACAGAGAGTCTGAGCCAATATTTGCTAATGCCAGGTTCTTCTGCAAATATTGACAAATTCTCAGACATAAAAAACAGCCATGTAACCTGATGTTTCTTATTTAAATGCCTATGACTGCACTGAGTGCTATGCAATCTATTTTCTCGGTTAAAAGGCCAGGTTAATACCTTTGGCATTAACTTAGCATGTTTTTGTCTAAAAATACTAAAAAATACAAAGCAAAATGAGGTAAATACAGTTTAATAATTTTAAACTATATAACTAGTATATTATTTTGATAATATACCAATGTACCAGATCGCCTGAAGTCACCAGGATTGCGCACAGGCAGGAGTTTATGTGCCACATAGTGAAATCTTTGTGACCGGAACCCCTCCAGTGGTTCATGTAAACCAATACTGCTGTGTTATGGCTCTGTGTTGGGGCTGAGCCTTGACCCCCTGGAGGTGGTGGCAGAGAGGAGATTGCTGACCAAGCTCACAGCCATCATGAGCAACGCCTCTCATCCGCTTCATGGGACTGTTACTGGGCAGCGGAGCACTTTTAGCAACAGACTGCTCCAGCTACGGTGTTCAAGGGAACGTTTCCGCAGGTCTTTCCTCCCGGCGGCTGTCAGGGTGGATAACGCTGCCCTAGGCTAGGACTGTTAGCCCTTCATATGCTCGTCTATGGACAGCATTTTGCTCTATGCACATTTTGCACATATTTTATTGTTTTTACAGTGACTATGATCATATTGTGCACACACCTATCTATTTATTTTATTTTATATTTATTTTTTATTACTGTACATATTCTAATTTTTCGTCTATCCTGATGTCTGTTTTTTTTTTGCTTGTCTTGGGCTGCTGTAACGCACCAATTTCCCTTCGGGATCAATAAAGTCTTATCTATCCATCTCTTATCTGTACATGACCAGCAAAACCCACTGCATTGTTTGAAAGACCATTGTTTGGACAAGGGCTGAGGCTGCTTTACTTGCAGTGTTTCATTAGCCATCGATTAGAAATGTATCTAAAAACCTCAGCTGTGTGTGCCTTGGCCTGTGATCAGGATTCCGCACAGTTCAGTCTGTCATTTAGGTAATTTACAGTCCAATCCCTTCATGCTCAAAATGGTACAAGTGCTCTGTCCACAGACTTGGAGAAGGAGTGGGTGTGAGTCTGGAGAACCTATTGGAATGTGCAAGTAGGCACCTTGGAGGGCTCAGCTGGAGCACTGAAGTTTGTCTGAAAGTCTCAACTGGGTAATGAGGGCAACCAGCAGGACCATCTTCTCTGAATCAAGGGCTGGATCAGGCAAAGGTGGCTCCTGACTCCTACTAAGGCAGCTAGCAAGCGACCTAAAGCTCGGCCATTTTCCCAGCACAGATCAATAATGTACATCAAGATGTTAGGTGAGTTAGCAAATTGTGTCACAAAGGTTAGCCCAGTAGGCTCTCTTCAGCATGTTTTCTGTGAGTCTGAACTATCTGTTGAGCCAACGAAGATCCTTGTCAAAGGAGGAGAAGGAGATAATTTGAACAACTAGAAGACGAGCCAGAGTCCATCTCCTGTTCTCCTGCAACAGAAGCTGATTGGCTACAATAGAGTGGATTTCCTACAGGAAGTCATAAAAATTGGATATGGCTGTAGGCTGCTTGCCTTATGGTTGAGATCAATGTAGTAATTGAAGTTGAGTAAATGAAGCTCAGTCCCTGTCTAAGCCAAAATAGATTTTTGTCAAAATCCAAATGCCTCAGAGTTTGGTTTAAGTCAGTCCTCACTGAAAACAGTGACTGCTATTATCTTATCAGTCCTGCTGTCTCTCCTTCTGCAATCCTTACTTTGAAAAACTGAAATCATGAGTTTAGTAGAGGGAATGTCTGTATTGATCTAGTCTTTTCGAAGGCATAGGGTAGAGTTAGGAGAAGTAGAGAACTGTGATCCTAATACGGTATGCTTATAATGTATAATGGAAAGTATAAGTATAAAGTATAATGGAAAATAATAGATATCAATAGAACAAAGTTATTCTGCTTGAAGGAAGTAAAAAAAACCTGATTAATCACATGAGCAAGTAAATAAAAGTTGGGAAAGTGTGTATTGCAAGTATGCAAGTGTATTACAATGTTTTTTTACAATTGAAGAGACTTTTAGATGACTGGGCAATCACCTGGGAAATAACCTTTAATGTAGATGGATCCAGGGTATTGTATGCAGATATAAAACTGGACACACCTGCTTATGAGAGACTGCATAGATAGATTATTTTTTAACTTCTAGAAAATGTGGGAACCAATAAAAAAACAATGTTTTATAAATGTGACAGCCCTTTGGGTGTGTAGGATCTTAAAAACAGGAGGATCCAGGATGACAGTACTGTACAGTACACAATTGTAAGGCAAATTCTGAGCAAAACAGCTTAAGCTACACTGGAGCTACTGACTAACTTCTTCTCAAAGTCCTTATCTATCACAGTCGGGCAGCTAAGATGACCTATTGTCAGTGTAGGTAAGATTGCATTAGGAATTTGTCTTTTCACATACCCCAGTTTGCACTACATGAGACACACAGACAGGGATTAATACAGCACCCCGGGAGCAGTTGGGGTGAAGGGCCTAGCTCAGGGGCCCAACGGAGTAGGATTCCTCTGCCGGACGTGGGATTTGAACCGGCAACCTTCCAGCCACAGGTGCAGATCCTTAGCCACTGTGCCACCACTCTGGTATACAGTAGCAGCTCCATTGCCCAGAGCTTCCTGAGGAAAGTGGTCTAGACAAGGCTGCAGTATTGCCTGGACTGGTTGTGCTCTTGGAATAGTTAGTATATACTGTATAGTTAGAATTCAAGTTGAAGAGTGTGGTGATAAAATTATACAATGCACTGGTAAGAAAAAAAAAAGTGGTTCCAGTTTTGACCAAGACTTCAGTTTTTTCTTCCCTGTTTTTTGTTACTTTTAAAAATTGCATTTGACAGTAATTTATATTTCTCTCTTCAGTTTTAGATTCATCTGTTGTAAAGCATTACAAGATCCGAAAACTTGATGCAGGAGGTTACTTTGTATCCAGAAAACAAGTATTTAGTACTTTAAGGGAGCTTGTAGAGTACTACTCCAGAAATCAAGGTGGTCTTTGTGTGTGCCTTGGGGAACCATGCATGAAGGTAGGTAATGAAATCATATTTGTAAGAATACCGGACTTTTAAAAAAATGTTAGTTTGCTCCGTGTATTTCACGCCACTAGTACCTGTTTACATGAAGTTCAACAACAGTGAGCAAGAGAATGTTTTTTTTTATCACATTTCCTGTTGCATGAAGGCGAAGGTGAGATCTTCTGTGATTAAAGTTGATTTTTTTTTCATTTGAAAATCTGTAAATGGCGTGTTGCAATTCCATTGAGGACGGTAAGGGTCCTTTATAATGCTGTAATAAAACTGACTGCTGTGCTGGTCATCGGGGTTCGACCCTCTGTCCACACTGCCTTCCCCTGCAGCCTCACTTGGTGACTGTCAGTGACCTTGTACACGTCAGTCTGCGGTGCACCTGTACAGGGATAAAGGGCATGATGACAACTGCACGTCACGGCAATACGCACATGAGCTATATAACCTCACCACTTTGCCAGGCTGATGTGGGCTCTCAAGGGCCGCGCCAAGGCCCCCCCCCCAAGCATAACAAATAACATAATTTATATTAAAGTGGGAGTTGGTTCAAAACCCAGTGCAGCCCATTTATCCCATATGATCATCTGCTGTTACAGAAAAGCCACTTACTGGTAATGAAACTAAATGAAACTAAATTTTATTGCCAAGGAATAATAATAAAAAAAACCTATATTTTATATAGTGCCTTTAAAGGTAGCTTCTCAAAGCGCTTTACAGAATGACAACAGCAACAACAAACAATTGAAAATAAACAATGAATAATACACAAGATAAACACGATGAGAATACGCAGAGGAGACAGTAGATGTTGGTACTAAATACAGTAGGAGCAGAGAGGTAAAGAATGGAACCAGTTAGATTATTGCTTTTACCAGGAAATAATTCTGTAGTTGCAGCAGTTGCAGTGAGGTGTACCTTAGAAGCCTGAATCCTGAATCCTGAATCAATGCAGCCGCAGGTGGTTAAAAGTCCTCAGTTGAACAATTTAATCGGGGAGCAATTTAATCGGCAGTAGAAGCAGCAGTCACAATGCAAGTGGAAGTCACATTTGTAAATAACAACGTGAAGCGGATAAAAATAAATAATTAGAAACCAGGGTGGCAGAGAAAGAAAAAAGAAAAAAAAGTCAAATCTGGTGTGAGGAGTGGCAGCCAAGCGCGCCAGCGTTCCCTCTCAGCCGGTATCCGGTTATGACCTAATGCAGTGGTGTCAAACACGTGGCCGGCAGGGCGGGTCTGACCTGCCTTGTTCATTTTTCCGGCTCGTGAGGCAGCCGTGAACAGTGGCGTCAACAAGGACTCATTCTGTAGCTCGTTAAAGCGCGTGCGGTGCACACTCGCAGCAGCCGTTCTTGGTTTCTTGACGCTCGCACACGCGGTGCTCCCTGTGGTTCTCGACCTTGATCGAGTAGCGGTGCCTCCGATTGATGATGTCTAGTGTGACAGGGGGCTGTCTTGGCACGACTTGGTCTTGGGGGGAAATTGACACTCCGAGGTGAAAACACAGTTCCTAGTAAAATCTCAGTAGTGAAAACCGATTTGTCCAGCGAAAGAAAATGGGTTCTAAAATGGATGGTAAGTGTGGTCAAATTGAAGTACATTTAAATCAAGTCTAACCCATCATAACAAATGAGTCAGATACCTCTCTTCTAAAATTTCTGTTCGAATTTGCTTTATTCATCATACAAATTGGAAGGATAATATCAGGAACCATAAAAAAAAATCATTGAAGGTCATTTTGACCATTATCTGAATGGCTGTTTTTGTACGTTTGTCCTTTTGTAGCTGGAAACTCCACAGACTCATGGTTTGTCCTACAATACAGCAGATCAATGGGAGATTGACCGTACTTCTCTAAAATTGCTAAAAAAACTAGGAGCTGGGCAGTTTGGAGAGGTTTATGAAGGACGATGGAATGACACTACTCCGGTTGCCATTAAAACTCTGAAGCCAGGTGAATATTCTATAGTACATTTTAACACTGCAAGACGTGCAAACATAATGTTATGAGGGAGCTGCATATGATTATTAACTATCAGCATTTCAATGTTCTTTTACAGATTAATGTACAGTACTGTTTGAGTAAAATAAATATATTGAAACCTGTTTAAATTGCTATGCCTTTCATTCGTTTTTATAGTATTTGTCATTGTAAAACAAATCCATGATTACGATTTCTACCTTTGTGGAGAACTATGAAAATCACTGTTATAGTGAATCCATTGTTACTGAATCTGTTCTCTTTATAGATCCTTTAAATGGATTTTTCCAAATATTCTAAGACCTTTACAAACAACATACTTTAAATAAGTATAGTGACAGACTTGATTAAATGTTTCATAAAAAAAGCTTGACTGAAAATATTTAGATGACACTTCTATTGTAGACATCAAATAGCAATACGGGGAAGAAATAAAACACTACTGTGCTGCAAAATATGAGCACAGAAATTGTCAGCCCATGAAAGCTGAATGTACAGCTTCCAGTTGAAAAAAATAAATCAAATAAATGGTCTCTTCATTAGGCCGGGCAATACTACTTCTGAAAACAATCACAACAAAACACATTCATTCTCTATTCCCAAATGAAATTCCTGGTCTTATTAGTTTTCCTTTGCAAGCCTGATCCAATTCAGTGATACCTAAGATTTATGGCACTTGCACTTTAGCTAGAGACATAAAGTAATCTCTGCAGTTCCCATGTGGGTTATGTAGAAACAGCAACATACCTTAAAAATGATGTCTGACTCATTTCCCCTATTCGTGTTTTTTAGGTTCTATGCACCCCCAGGACTTTCTTCGAGAGGCACAAATAATGAAGAAGCTGAGACACCCCAAGCTTATCCAGCTGTATGCTGTTTGCACTGTGAAGGAGCCAATTTATATTATTACAGAACTGATGAAAAATGGGAGTCTGCTTGAGTACCTCCAGAGTAAGTACACTTTGCTGATACACATCTCAGGTCAGGAGGCAGCTCTGTTAAAACTTTGATGAATGAAAAAAAGTGGATAGTTCACTTTCTCCTCCTTGAATAATTAAAATGAATATCCAGTATTAATATAATATGTTAATATATTATATTAATGCAGAATATGTATTAATATTCATTTAATATTGATATATTAAAATATAACTGGATTTCTGAGTTATATCGATCATTTGTGTAATTGATAAGAATTGTATTTGTTCCACTAAGGCCATGAGTTATGAAAAGTCAATCCATGTGCTTTTTGGCAGTGAGAATCCAAAATAGTGTTGGGTGGATGGTGTCCATTTTTTGCAGTGTCCTATTAATCTACACATGTGTTTTCTCAGATTTTATAAACCCAAGAAAAATATTAGATGGGTGGATTAAAGGTTGGATGATGAAGGTTGGATTTGTTGTCACTTCCCTTCATTTATTTGATGGCAATAATTAACATTTTCCTGTTTGCTGTGAGTGATGCAAGGTTGTGTAAAGGTGGTATTCAGTGCTGAGCTGAATCTGAACATTGCTGCATACTCTATTTACCATAATGTCATTCAGAGAAATCGTTTTGTCCAGTTGCACTCAGTTAGGCATTTACAATTCAAGAAACTGGAGATGTTTCAGCAGGCTTGTTCAAACAAATTAAATCCAACATGAACCTACCAATACAGAGTGAGCTGTATTTGTGCTGTAGACAAGCACTGAAAAAGTTCAGTTTAGCCAGACCTCAGACTTGATATCTCAAGCCACCTTTGCTCGGTATTGTTCAGCAACGTGTTGAGCTGCCTGCTGCCTACACTTCCAGTTAATTAATGTCAATACAGTGCTTGAGGGCAACCTTGAGCTGGTTTTTGACCACCTGTTGAGCATTGATCAGCAGGGAGCTGGAAGAAGAGATCCTAGTTGGGTCTCACACATGCAGACCTGTACTTCAGAGTCGATTTCTCAAGAGCAAGGCTTTGATGCTGGTGAACATTGCTTCATAGAGGATACTCATATTGATCCTGTGGTCCTCCCATTTGATCCCCAGAAATCAATGCAAGCACTGCTGAAGGAAGCTCAGAAGGATCTTAATGAGCTGTCAATTCTTGAGACAGTCCGTGTCTCATAGCAATGTAAGAGAGTGGTCAGCATGATAAGCTTTTAAACCAGGGGGGTTCGTTGTGTATTTAGACTACAGGGGCAGAATTCTGGATTTTCTAGGTCTATAGGAATTACAACTCCGGAACCCACTGCCTGTGCTTATGTGTCAGAGTGTGACTGTTGTGTAGTTGTATTATTTGTTAATAAATATTTGTTTTGTCTTAAAAGTGGCCCTGATTATTTGCTCTATCATCAGAGCTATGGTGGCGAATAAAATGACTCATGGGCTATGTAACATTCAGGTTATTTCCTGAGCAAGATTTTACAGTATATAAGAGCCCCATCACTGCAATGATGAAGTAGTTATTCTTTTCTGACAAACACCAATCTTTCTTCTACAGAGGATGGAGGAAAGACACTTGTTATTCGGGACCAGGTAGAAATGGGAGCTCAGGTTGCTTCAGGGATGGCTTACTTGGAATTGCAGAACTACATTCATCGAGATTTGGCAGCAAGAAATGTGCTGGTGGGTGAAAACAACATTTGCAAAATTGCGGACTTTGGTTTGGCTCGAGTGTTTATGGTAAGTTTTTTTTATTTCGAAGATGAAATCCACAGAATTCTGTTTTCCACAAAAAAGTGTTTATTTAACATGCCCTAAGACAACGCCCCCAAAAGAAACAGTCAAGGAATTGTCCGTGTTCATTTTGTATATTTTATTTGCAGTACATTTTCCAAAGAGATAATAAAGTATTACATAACATACTTCAACAAAGCACATTTGACTTTGGTTAATTTCACTGTGTTCACACTGTGGTCCGATTTAGGAGAGTATCAGTGTTAGTTTTACATCGGGTCAAAATACCACTTAAATTAATACTGGAAGTGTGTTTGTGTGTGTCGGGGGCTGAGAGCTATATTGTTAGATCAGGATAAACGCATTGGCTACATTCTAGCAAACACAGACACCCAAGCATTGTCGGTCATATAAGAGATCTGGTCAAGCTGCAAAGCAGTCAATTTTGAGCTTAGCTAGTGAAAGATAGTTTTATTTTAGCAGCATACAGTAAGTCTAGAGGTGGAATGCACCTGTTAAAGTTAATATCCCTCTCATGTTTAGCTTTTTCAATATAGGAATTGACCTATGTAAATACTAAGGCTTACTTTGGAATTGCCTTGGAATTTAATACTGTAACAATCTGTATTCTCAACAAGGTGGACAATGAGAATGTATATGAAGCCAAGGAGGGAACTAAATTCCCAGTGAAATGGACAGCACCTGAGGCAATACATGCAAACAAGTTCAGCATCAAGTCCGATGTGTGGTCCTTTGGTATTCTGCTGTATGAAATAATCACCTTTGGAAAGATGCCCTACCCTGGTAAGACACTTTTCTTGTTTTAAATCCCTTTCTGATAAATTCCACATTTGCACAGAAAGAAAAACAATCTGTCCACTGTCGATGATCTCACTTTGAAGATCTGAAACCTACGGTAGAAAATGAAACCTAGAAAATCTGTCTTTATTTATGAAAAGTGTTCATCTGGGTTTCATTTGAAACATGCCCATGGATCAAAGTCCTGGTTTGGGCGAGTGATTTCTGACAGGCAGTCTGTTAATCGTACTGTTCACTCCGGATGAAGTCGGAGTGACTCTGCAGGACCAGTGAGGGTGTGGGAAAGAGTGTACAGCATATGGTGATATAATGTGCCTCTGCTGGGTTAGTCAGTGCACAAAGCAATAAAAGGCATCGAACCTGAAAACAGGCCAGGTTCCTTCTTCAAAACCATTGCTCTTGCAACAACATTTAGAAATACAGTAGAGGTCCAAGAGGTTTTAACTATTATTGTTAGGTACAAGTGTGTCATGGAGACTGGGAGACTGAGCTGTCTGAAAAAGCTAAAGGTTGGACCTCAAATAGAAACCATTTCACGTCACTTGAAAAACAGTATTCCAGTGTTATAATATTCCTAAAGGGAATGTTTCTGCAGCCGTTTCAAGATCTGCTGTTAAAGCTGTCCATTTGGTTGAGATGCACTTTTCTCGAGCTACACTTCTATCATTTACAAACCAGTGAACAATAAAAAAAGGTGAAATAGTTGACAGTGAATTTATATAGCAGGGGTATTTTCAAAATTAGATTTTATTGAACATTGTTACTCATGTATGAATAATCCAATCTCACTGGAGCCAGAAAGATGTGGAAAATAATTATTTAAACAAAATCAATTTGGAATTAAAGTAATTAAAAATTAACTGTTTTGTATGAGATAAAACATGGACAAAGTTTTACTATTGCTTTTTTGAATTTTTTAAAATGTACTTGAACCTGAAGATCTGAACATTTCTGTCAACTTTAAGGTTTTGTCCCACCAGGTGAATCCTGCTACTTTTGTCATGGTGTGCAGCTGGATTTAATGAGTATAACTGACACCTTTAGTTAATACTTTTCATTGTTAATAGATTTCGTTTGGAGCTCACAAGTAATTATATTTTTTGACAGAAATATAAAATAATTCCGCAAATTAGTTTCCACAAATTTAAATAGGCCTCCACTCTGATTTGACGCTTTACCACGGACCACAGGGTGAGCCCTCATTACTGGTCACACTAACACCTCTTCCAGCAGCAGCCTTAGCTTTCCCAGAAGGTCTCCCATCCAGGTGCTGGCCAGGCTCACAGCTGCATGCTGCGAGTTGCTGAATGAACTGCTGGCTAACATGTTCAAGAATGACAGCAAATCCTGCTTAAGTGTAATACATAGGGTAAATAAATTTTAAAGTAATTCAATTAAATAATGTACATACAAACTGATGGACTAAAACTATACAAGCAACATGTTTAATCCTACCTAAGCAAGTACTACTACCCTGTCAGATTACTTTTTTTACTAAAGCACATACTGTACCTGACTTCATTTTTTGCTTCTCTATGCCATGCTGCATCTGTGATTCAGGAGAGACTGTAAAGTTAAATTTTAGCAAGACAAATCACCCTTTTTTTCCAATTTTGTCCTTCTTTTTGTCTTTCAAAAGATGGAAAGAACTACTTTTGCAATAACTACCCAAAGAAAAAACTTTCTTTCTTCTTGCTTTTAAAAGTTCAAATGTTACATGCTGGTCCTCATGACAAAGTTGCTGGTAAGATTGTGATAAGAATGTAATTAAGTAACTATATACAGTACCAGTCATGGTCATGCTGTATATCGTTTAGTTCAGATACAGCAGAAATATTGGACAGGAATGCTTGTTCTGTAGTAATGAGGTCTGTACTCTAATCTTTTCCAGATATGACAAATCAGCAGGTGGTTCAGAAGCTGCCTACAGGCTACAGAATGCCATGCCCTCCTCTCTGCCCTCCTGTGCTCTATGACATCATGCTGGAGTGCTGGAAAGAAAGTGATTTTGAACGACCAACCTTTGAAACACTTCAGTGGAAACTGGAAGACTATTTTGATTTGGAAAACTCTTCCTATCACGATGCTAACAATCTCCGGAGATAACTGAAGAAATTTGATACATTTCTTTCATGGATTACACTGTGAAATAGACACTAAAGGTGATGTTTTCTTTAATCTTGTCAAAGTGCCACATGTATTGAAACACATCTTCCTGCAACCTGCTTTTTTGCAAAGGTTTAAGAGCAGGAATCACACAAGCAAAAATATATACTTTGAAAAATACTGTTTGTGCATATGATGTGGCATGTTTTCCCATGTGTCTTTATTGCAGTCATTTTATTTTTTTGATATATTTTTTAAGCGTATGAACAAATTGCATTTTAATTGGTGCTGTAAAATATTCCTGCATAGGACCTGACTGCAGAAAATGTTTTTCATTTGGGGTTCAGCAAATCTGTTTTAAGACCAATCATTGTAAATGAAACAATTTCACTGTATTGAACTTTAGAATGAGACTACAGTAGGAACTTAATATTCTTGAGAGGTAGATGTTGAAAACCCTCGGGAAAGTAGACATTTGTGAATAATTCTGCAGCTTATAATAACGCCTTATTTCATAACCCATTATTTAGTTTTCCCATAAAGTATTAATTTAATAAGAAGGCAAATGTTATTAAATATACAGTATGTAACACTTCCAAACAAATGACACATTTCACATTCAAATAATTAATAAACATAATTTGAAGAAGCGCTGCTCTCTCCATAAAATCAAAGTGAGGTGGAATAAGATGATCATGGGACCACATGAGCACATCCCAGGAAGCTGAAGAAGCTCGTCATGGGGAAAGGATACAGGGTAAACATCATACAGTCTTCAGTGCAGATGAAAGGGAAGAAAATGCTCAGGCGGACATCCATCTCAAAGTCTCAAGGAAGGCGAGCGCTGGGATTTCAGCCAGTCCCCAGTGACGCAACTTCTGTGTAGTAATGTGACGGGAACCCTAGGGCAGGTAAGTGAGAAGGCCTGGGAATCTTTCTGGACTGGTGTCGTAACAGCTATGTAGTTAATGGCTGAGATCAGACTCACTCGCTAGCGGAAAGAATTTTCCCCAGTGCGTGGGATTTGGGATTCGCCTTGCGGCGCCATCCCACAAAATGTATTTTTCACATCGCAGCCCGACTCTGACCCGGTGACCTTTGCTCGCAAATTATGTTGAATCCTTCCTGTATTAGCTTCGATCAGCAATATTTTAAATACTGTATGAGGAAAACAAGAAGAACAAAGAATTCTAAATCAATAGTACTTTGAAACTGATGTAATTAGCACAGATCTGTGAGATAGTTACAGTGTTATAGAAGGTGCATATTTATATCCAGTAGAGTATCCTAGAACTGCCAGCACTTTCTTTTACTTAGGTTGCATAGGAAAACTCTTGATGCTGATTAAGATTTTCCATTGATAGAGTTGCCTTCTACCATAAACGTCACAAGCTAGTAGTGTGTGTAGTGTGTACTTCTCTGACAAATGCTTTGCTCTAGGTGGCAGATGCTGTCTTGCGGGATTCTGCATCTGTCTTCTTGTACAGCCTGGGAAACACGTGTCCATTCACTGGTTTCTGAGCCCCTGATGCCACATGTCTTCCCAGCTCATCTCACAGATGTTTAAAGGGGCTAATGTCTGGTACGTTGGGCATCCATGGCATAACTGCCACATTCTTATCTGGATTTGTGAACAGCAAGAAGATGGTTTTTTTTTCCTGGTGGAATAAAATGTTTTCATGTCAAGCAGACGTGACAGGCAGCAAGTCAAATCCCAGGACTTTAGCAATGCAGTACAGTTATGGACAGCTGCCATCACAACTGCCAGCACTTCTGACTTCTGCAGCACTCCTTTCCAGTCCATCACACTTGGATCCCCCATCGATCATTCGGTTGCACATGCCAATTAGCGTTCTGGATGTCTGTGCCCCATTTCCTGGCACCCATCAGGGTGGTCTACAGTACATATGGTAAAACTTTGATTCAGTGCCAAATACGACTTGAGGATGAATCCACCCAAGGAACATCTTCATGGCATGAAGGCATTATTCTCTTGATCTGTCATTAAAGCACAAATCGGACTTTCCCAGAATATCCTGTTGTTCCTTCACATTAAGTCACTCGGACAAAATAACCTTCACGTTACTGTAGTTACCCTTCAGTTCAGGTGCAAAATGATTGTGCCATATCACTGTTCAAATATTTAAATTGTTTTTGTGACCTGTGGAATGATTTCATTATAACAACTGATCATCTAGTACTAGGAATAACAAGTGTGAAAATAGAGAACACGGAAGTCATATGAAAATGGCCTTTTCCTCAAGCACTGGTTTTAAGTGAATTGGACCTGAAGTCATTTCTTATACTAAATGCTCCATGAAACAAGTGTAGCTCACATCTTTCCGTTTGCATGGGTACAGTATATGCCTTTGCATTTTAATTAAAAATGTGACCTTTTGCGGTGTTATTCCTTGCTGACATATTTTCTGTTCTCTCATAGCTGTATTAAAACCTCTTTATAAAACAGGTTATACATTTGTGGTGAATTGTTTTATACACTCCAGGAGCAGCCAGGGGAGAGGGAAGATTCCAAAAGCAAACTGATATTGCCATAGCAATTCTGTTTTCGAGCCTTGCTTCACACATCTTCATTCAAAATGTAGTAGCCTATATTGTATATTCCTCAATAAAACTTTTAGTGTTTTAAAACACAGTGGATCTTGGAAGATCCTTACATCTGTTTTTAGACCATATTTCTCTTTCTTATAATTAAAATGTGTTTGCCAAATGCTGATGAAAAATAATTCTATTTGTCATTTTTGTAAATGTATCGTTATCTAGTGTCTTTTTTACATTTTCTGTTTTACAGCACTGATCTAGGAAACTAAACTACTTTTCTTCACAATGAAGCTGAAGCAATAAGATGGTGATTGTTCAATGATTGCGACAATCATTGCTTATATGTAATCTTTAATATATTTTGAAAAATGGCTTGTGTTGCTAATGTGTTTTGTAATGTATATTTTTGTAGTCTAAACCTTGATTAAATTAGGTGATAATTAAGCTGTCTTTCTGTCTTTCAAATACTGAGAACAATGAAAGATACAATGTATAAAATTAAAAGCGCATAAATGAAAAACAGCATATGTTTTCTTTGTATTCATAATGTGAATGTCATTCTTGGATCATTTTTATTATTAGTTTGAATAGATGCACATCTTTTTGGTGTACAGATAAAATTTAAGGACTTGAGGAAGAGTACGCCTACTTTTCCTCAAGAAATGATGCAATTACTGTAAGCGGGGACAACTGTCAAGGAATTACGGTCTGAAATAATTAAATACTGTATGTATGCATTTGTTTTCACTGATTGTACAAAACAACAAGAAAAAATGTCATTTTCTTTTTCTCCCACACGGTGGAGCTAATGTATCTGTATTATGCCAGGTAACGAGTATATCCATCATACAGATTAAATCAGCAGCCTCCGATAGGGATTACAGGTTACATCACATGAATTTTACGTTGGCAGATTTACTGTAGACAAATTATACATTTGTACACATTATCACTGGTTCCCATTGAAATGTATTTACATGTACTGTAATATTTTCAGCTGCCATTTCACTGTTTGCTATAGCAGCTCAATGAGACAAACTCTGCAAGAACTCTCAACACTGTTAACAGGTCTCTGGGAGACTACTGATATTCTTATTCAATAATGCTTTCTTCAGTTTAAGTGTCACATAATTCCATTTTGCATATGCACTTCCCCCATTCATTCCACCAGAGAAAAAAACAATAAAGCATCTCATATCTTTGAATTTACTATAGCTATAATTCATTCTGAAAATATAATACTGTGGTTATGTTAAAGACTAACAACAACAGACTGATCAGAAATCATCTGTGTTAATTCAATTAATTATCTTTAAGTAAAAATAATATCAGTTAGCATTTCTACAGTAATACTCTGAAAAGGATAGCAGGAGATATACTTTTTTTTTCTTTTAAAACACCATTTAAAGCAGTTCTTTCCTCTACAGTACATTTCATGGTCATTACTTATATAGTTTCTGTGCAGCTTGAAGTAAACATCCCATTGTCTGAAATCACTTGGGACATTGAGAAAGATAATACAGAGTGATGTATTGTAAGCCACCACATGGCAGATACTGTATTAGAAATGAGTACTGCACAGTATATCCAACAGTTTCAAGTTATTACATTTTTTTCTTTTTGTCCAAACCTCATTGTTACTGCAGATTTCACAAACGCCCAGTTAAGAAGGCTAGTGACTTGGATCTTGTGTTGACTTACCTGTACTTGTCATTGTCCCACGGCTTCAAATCTCCCTTGCTTTTTATAACGCCTTCATCAGAGTTGACAAAAAAAACATCAAGTGATGATGGCATGTACTGTATAGTGATTAAGTGAAAGTTAATCACTGTAGTATTTTAAGCAGTATACATGATATGAGTATATAGATGTAACACAGCCCATCTGAAACAGTACCTTGATATGACAATGTCATATACAGTAGGAAGCCAGTGACATTAAAAATAACTTCTCAAGCGATTAAACTTGATAAAATTCTGCTTATTTGATTTGTCGATGAAAATTTCTTGCCGTTGACTAAGGCTATTTCAAGGAATTCGTACCTCTATAGCAGGAGAGTGGGAATCTCTTGCATTGATTATTTTAGAACTTTCTCATCAGGGCTTTCTAGTGTTGTAATCGTCTCATTAGCTTTGCCGGGACCTAATAATCTCGAAGAATTCCTTAACGAAAGGAAGTCACTGAGACAATAAGATAAAAATAATAATGTTTTGTGAATTGGAAAAGTTTCCAGCCTCTGAACCCAATGTAGTACCCCAGATTCACAATGAACTAGAAATATGTTACTGGGTATATTAAATATGAAGTAATAGAGATAAGAAGACAAGTACACATGTACTGTATGTTGTCAAACATGGTGCATGGAACCTCGTTACGTTACATGTGGCGTTTTAAGATCATCTTAAATTGCATGCTGAGGTCTGTCCCAAAACCGAAGTTCTGCTTAACCTTTCTATTGTTTTGAGGGAGCATTTAAATAACGCTGGAAAATTATATCAAGAATCATATCAAGATCCCTTTATGCTCCTTCTGAGACAATGGATTGTTTGGTACTTTGGCTGCTGGAAAATACCATGAGATGGAAAGCTGTTTTCAGGAGATATTTTGTAAAGAACATTAACCTTATTAAAGGCACTGTCATGCCTCACTGTGCACCGCTGATTGCTAGGAACCAAAACCTATTCCCCGTGTCTGGATTACTTAACACCTCAGAGCCAAGGGCTTATTCGGAGACCTTAGGCTTCACCCATCATCCATCTTTTTCTGGGCACTAGAAGAGTCTTTTCCCGGCAACCTTTGATTAAATTTGAAGTATTAGTTGCATTCTATATACTAAAAAAGCTGGTTCTACAAATACAAGGTTATCAGATAAAGGAAAGCCAGTTCTGTAACAACATTTATTTTCACACTTCTTGGATCTCTATACATTGTTTTTTCAGTCTGTATAATAACCAGGTTGTATGCATCCCTGAAGAGTTACTCTGTACACTCCAGTATACCATCACATATGGTATTTTTACATGGAAAATATAATTAAATGTAGCAGCTAAATCCAGGTATATTATTACAATGTATGTCCATCTTTAGCGCTGGAGTTCAGTCCCTTCATAGTGCAATAGCAGTGTATATATCAAGTTTTTAATCTAAATTTAGTGTGAAATTTCTTGGGATTCTTGTGCTGAAAAATAGGCTACGGATGTGAATGATTTTTGCAAATTGAACACGAGACCAAATGGCAATGGGATTTTCTTTTTTATCATACAACCATTATGGCCATTGAAAGCGGCATCACAGATTGTGTTCTGAGATGGAAAAGGAGTGGGAAATTACATCTTCAAAACATGGTATCCCTGAACTCAGGTCAGCAGCCCTTATTCAGGATGTTCTCACATATGGGAAACACTTTTCCCACATTTTCCCACACAGAAAATGCTGTAGTTCTTTCACATGTGTCCTGTGATATCCATGGCAGACAATGTTTTGGCCATGTCACTTAATCTTATTCAATTCATCTTTTACCTGTACATGGTGATATCACACGAACACCTGTTTAATGTCACATACTGTACTGTAACATGCAGCAGAATTTGACTGTGCTGTACAGAATGTGAGGATACATGTTTCCAAAACTGAATGGAACAAGTTTTGACATAGGATACATCCAAAATTGAATGAACATTTACACACTGACACGGAGTGTCTGAAAATAATAATGTACAATAGGATAAAAAATGGATAAAAATGGTCAAATGGATAAAAAATCAAAATGTAAATTTGTTTTGCTTGATAATATGTTACATGTTTATTAAAAATAATAGTTGCTTCATTTCTTAAAATGTGGCCTACATATAGAAGCATTTATAAACAATACTTTTAATATATATGAATATATCAGAATGATTATTTTCAATATTTAAAGGACACAAAGTGAAGGAAACCAACATCCTTATTAACTGAGATCAGGTATACTAGATTTTGCAGGCAGATAATCACTTGTTGAACAGTTTTAAATGAAATATCAGAGGAGGTCAAACCCTAACCTCGCTCACTTCTGCCATGAACAGTATATATACACATGACGTTTCAGGTTTACCTGTTTGACCATCAGTGCTCGTTCTCACAAGAGACAAACCCCACTGTACAGGTCTCTTCATTATTCTCTTCTGCTTCCACCTGCTTCCATCTGAGTATGCTACAGAATTCTAATCTGGAAGCCAAATTTGTCCTCCCATCACTCCTAGTCAATTTCACACTTCTCTCATTTATTTCTCTGTCTCTAATCTGTACAATCATTCTTTGTAAAGAATTTATTTCAAGGTGCCCTGAAATAAATGTGCTCCCCGCACCCTCCATTTAGTCCCCACAGTCTACAGTAGAGTGCCCAGGCTCCTGCTCTCTGTTTTCCTAAACCTAATGACCATCCCGATACAGATCCCAGTGCTTGGTTGTATTACTCTGATCTATTATACAGTACATCACTTTCAGAGTTTAAAACCAAACAACAGCAACAATGTTTCGATGATCATAATCACAATAGAAAGTATTGTATGTATTTAAACACGTAACTTATGGTTCCTAGTTTTCAAACAGTGTAACACAAGATTATGTGAAGTTTTACACAGAATGAGAGCACTCACAAGAAGCAGAAGGAATGCTGTATTGGGGTTTCTGGAAAAGCCTGCCATTTTTCAAAACATATTTTGTTTAACCTTCCAACAGATCTATAATTCTTAACTGAGTCAGAAAAATATGGTTTGTACCCACGTCTGAAACTGACATTTTAAAAATATTACACTTTGAAATCTGATGGGTTACATAACCTGAAGATTAGAATTTAAGCATTAATAGCCTAGAGCCTGTGTGACATAAAAATATACTGTACCACTACTTTATCTCCTTAACTTATGCCACACGCTGTGGCTTTGTTTTATATGTGACTCAGTGGCTTTACAGGAACATCAATTCCTACATGAAATAATTTATCTTCATTCTTCTTAACCATAGAAGCATAAGGCTGGTAATTCACCCAGGACAATACCTGTCTATTCACATTAAAATATCTGTGGTTTCATTTGAAACAATTGGTAACAACAAATGAGTGTGCTTCTTTATGTGTCATTCTAATATTGGAACTTAATATGTGCCTGAAGTTATAAATTAGAAACAGACAAGAAGTGATTGCCTTTCAAAGGAAAAAAATTGCCAGGGAGAATTAGGAAGTAAACAGGAAAAGTGATTCTGATGAGATTGGTAAATTATTGTTTTCCATCTATGTACAGAGGTAGAGTTAATTTCTTTATTCAAAATTATAATATTCGATTTTTTTCCATCCTGTCGAAGTTCTCATTTAAGAACCTTCAATTCAGATATTAACAGTCGCCTGTTTATGTCATCTGCATGCATTTTTTATGAAGTGTGACAGGTTAAAAGTACATTAAATGAACTGGAAGCATTCTTTAAAGAATTGAAATAAGTCTTATAGGCTACATTTCCCATATTAACTTGTGATTTAGGTCAGTG